GCCATTTTTACTATGTTGATTCTCCCAATCCAAGAGCAGGGGAGGTCTTTCCATTTTCTGGTATCCTCCTCAATTTCTTTCTGCAAAGACTTAAAGTTTTTGTCAAATAGGTCTTTCACTTCCTTGGTTAGAGTAACCCCAAGATATTTTATGCTATTTGTGGCTATCATGAAAGGTGATGCTTCTCTGATTTCCCTCTCTGCTTCTTTATCCTTTGTGTATAGGAGGGCCACTGATTTTTTGGAGTTGATCTTGTATCCTGCCACGTTACTAAAGGTGTTTATCAGCTGTAGGAGTTCTTTGGTAGAGTTTTTTGGGTCACTTATGTAAACTATCATATCGTCAGCAAATAACGAAAGTTTAACTTCATCCTTTCCAATTCGAATCCCCTTGATCTCCTTATGTTGTCTTATTGCTATTGCTAGAACTTCAAGCACTATATTGAAGAGGTATGGAGAGAGTGGACAGCCTTGTCGCATTCCTGATTTTAGTGGAAAGGCTTTGAGTTTCTCTCCATTCAGTTTGATGTTAGCTGTCGGCTTGCTGTATATTGCTTTTATTATATTTAGGTATGATCCTTGTATCCCCAGTCTCTCCAACACCTTTATCATAAATGGGTGTTGAATTTTGTCAAATGCTTTTTCAGCATCTAGTGAGATGATCATATGGTTTTTTTCTTTCAGTTTATTTATATGATGGATTACATTGATAGATTTGCGTATGTTGAACCAACCCTGCATCTCTGGAATGAAGCCGACTTGATCATAATGGATAATTTTTCTAATGTGCTCTTGGATTCGGTTTGCCAGTATTTTATTGAGAATTTTCGCGTCGATGTTCATGAGTGAGATTGGCCTGTAATTCTCTTTCTTGGTTGTGTCTTTGTGTGGTTTTGGTATTAGGGTAACTGTAGCTTCATAAAAGGAGTTAGGCAATGACTCTTCTGTTTCTATATTGTGGAATACGTTAAGGAGTATAGGTATTAGCTCTTCCTGGAAGTTCTGGTAGAATTCTGCATTGAAACCATCTGGTCCTGGGCTTTTTTTGGTAGGGAGATTTTTGATAACAGCTTCTAATTCTTCGCGACTAACAGGTCTATTTAGATTGTTCACCTGTTCTTGGTTCAACTTTGGTATATGGTACTTATCTAAAAAAATGTCCATTTCTTTTACATTTTCCAACTTTGTGGCATATAAACTTTCATAGTAAGATCTAATGATTCTCTGAATTTCCTCTGTGTCTGTGGTTATGTCCCCCTTTTCATTTCTGATCTTATTAATTTGCATGTTCTCTCTCTGCCGTTTGATTAACTTGGCTAGGGGTTTGTCAATCTTGTTGATTTTCTCCAAGAACCAGCTTTTTGATTCATTGATTCTTTGGATTGTTTTCTCTGTTTCTATTTTGTTGATTTCAGCCCTCAGTTTGATTATTTCCAGTCTTCTAGACCTCCTGGGTGAATCAGCTTCTTTTTTTTCTAGATCTTTCAATTGTGCTGTTAATTCTCCAATGTGTGCTTTCTCCGTTTTCTTTAATTGGGCACTTAGTGCTATGAACTTTCCTCTTAGCACTGCTTTCATAGTGTCCCATAGGTTTGAGTATGTTGTGTCTTTGTTTTCATTAAATTCAAGGAAGAGTTTAATTTCTTTCTTTATTTCTTCCTTGACCCAGGGGTGATTTAGTAGTTGACTGTTCAGTTTCCATGAGTTTGTTGGCTTCCTGGGGGGAGCATTGTTGTTGAATTCTAATTTTAGTCCATGGTGGTCTGACAAGACACAGGTAGTTACTAATATTTTTTTGTATCTGTGGAAGTTTACTTTGTTACCGAGTATGTGGTCAATTTTCGAGAAGGTTCCATGAGCTGCAGAGAAAAAGGTATATTCTTTCCTATTTGGGTGGAGTGTTCTATAGATGTCTGTTAAGTCCATTTGATTCAATACCTCCAGTAATTCTCTTAATTCTCTGTTAGGTTTCTGTCTGATTGACCTATCCATTGGAGAGAGAGGAGTGTTGAAGTCTCCTACTATTAGTGTGTGTGGTTTGATGACTGCCTTGAGTTCTAGAAGTGTTTCTTTTACATAAGTAGGAGGCTTTATATTAGGGGCATAGATATTCAGGATTGAGACTTCCTCCTGATGAATTGTTCCTGTTATGAGTATAAAATGTCCATCTCCATCTCTTCTGATTGATTTTAGTTTGAAGTCAATTTTGTTGGAGATTAGAATGGCCACGCCTGCTTGTTTCTTAGGTCCGTTTGCTTGAGAAACCTTTTCCCAACCCTTTACTCTGAGTAAATGTCTGTCTTTGTGGTTGAGGTGTGTTTCTTGTAAACAGCAGAATGTTGGATCCTGTTTTCGTATCCAGTCTCTTAGTCTGTGCCTTTTTATAGGTGAATTGAGTCCATTAATATTAAGTGATATTAATGACCAGTGGTTGTTGACTCCGGTTATTATTATTTTTTGTTTGATTAATAGAGTTTGTATGTGTCCCTTCTTTGAGTCAAGCTCTTGAAGGGTCGCTAGATGTCTGAGTTATTGTAAGCAGTGCTGGCAATGTTGGACTCCTTTGGTTGCAATTTTCCTTCTATTACTTTCTGTAAGGCTAGGTTTGTGGCTTCAAATTGTTTAAATTTGTTCTTATCCTGGAATATTTTGTTTTCTCCATCGATAGTGAATGATAGCTTGGCTGGGTATATTAGTCTGGGCTTGCATCCATGGACTCTTAGTTTCTGCAGTACCTCTATCCAGGACCTTCTGGCTTTCATGGTTTCCATAGAGAAGTCCGGTGTGAGTCTGATAGGTTTACCTTTATAAGTTACTTGCCCTTTTTCCCTTGCAGCTCTTAATATTCTTTCTTTAATCTGTATGTTTTGTGTTTTGATTATTATATGGCGAGGGGATTTTTTTTTTTGATCAAGCCTATTCGGTGTTCTGTATGCTTCCTGAACCTTCATAGGAATATCATTCTTTAGATTGGGAAAGTTTTCTTCTATAATTTTGTTGAATATATTTTCTGGTCCTTTGATCTGCAGTTCTTCTCCTTCTTCAATCCCTATTATTCTTAGATTTGGTTTTTTATTGTGTCCCAGATTTCTTGAATGTTTTGTGATGAGAATTTATTGGATTTGCTGTTTTCTTTGATCAGAGCATTTATTTTCTCTATGGTATCTTCAGACTCTGAGATTCGTTCTTCCATCTCTTGTATCCTATTGGTTATGCTTGATTCTGTAGTCTCTGTTCGTTTACCTAGATTTTCCATATCCAGCCGGCCCTCGTTTTGTGTTTTCTTCATTGCCTCCATTTCAGTTTTCAATTCTTGAACTGTTTCCATTACCTGTTTGATTGTTTTTTCTTGGTTTCCCAATATATCATTCATGGATTTACTCATTTCTTCGATGTTTTTTTTTATATTTTTCATCCATTTCTTTACTCATTTCTTCAATCTTTTTGTTATACTTCTCATCCAGTTCTTTAAGGGAGTTATTCATATCCTGTTTAAGGGACTCTATTGCTTTCATAATGGCATTTTTTCCCGCTTCTTCTGAATTAAGAGGTTCAAGTCCTTCTATTGTAGGGTCATTGGGTTCTGGTGTTTTCATGTTGTTTTTTAGATTGTTGGAGGAGTTCTTGCCTTGGCGTCTGCCCATCTCTTCCTTCAAATGCTCTCTACTGGATCTTCTAGTACCAGGTCAGGTTCCCTTGTTGGGCAGGGAATTCACTGACAGAAGGCCTACCTTTCCTCAGGCAGTCTATTGACACACAGGCACTCCCTACTACCGGGTTGTACTCACAATCCAGGTCCAGCAGGCAAGGGAGTTGCTCTGGGGAGATTTTGTGGCCCCAGAGGGAAGGGGGGAAGAGAGGAAGGTGTACCTGGATAAAGGCTGGGATGGGATTCGGGAGAACTCCGCAGGGAGGAGTCGCCTCTGCCTGGTGACCAGATTGTCGAGGGGGGCGGGGAAAGGCTGAATTCCTCCTAGAGGAAGCCCTCTGGCCAGGGGAAAACTCACCCCTCCTCCAATGGAAGTCTGCTAGAAGTTCACTCTCTCTTGCTGGCCAGGAATGTGATTGAGCTGAGACAGGGCTTGCCTGTCCTCAGACAGGCTCTTAAAGCACCTGAGCTGCCCCTGCCGGACCGAGCCCACAGTCCAGGCCCAGCGTGCAAGGGAGCAGCTCTGGGGAGATCTTGTGTCTCCAGAGGGGAGGGCGTCTTCCTATTTTAAATGAAAGGAGAGAACACACTTTTTGTATGGCAATTCAAAATAGACAGGCATTTAAATAAATAAATAAAAATAAAACAAGAATGGAAGTGTGTGTTTCTTTAAATGTACTCATGGGTGCTTGGGATGAAGCTTGGCACTTGTTCAGCAGGCACACTATCCTGAGTTTAATTTTTAGGACCACCAGACATCTCTCATTCATAACTTTCACATGGCTTCATATTGTCACAGTGAATCCCGTGAGTATTGCATGATTTTCACTGCCTTTAATTCTAGAAGAGCTAGAATTTATCTTGAGGTTGAGTTCCTCAACAAAGTGCAGCTGATTAGGGACCAGGAAGGCAGCACTTGTCACAACAGGAGGACTGGATAAAAAAGTGAGCCACCCCAAGGGGTAATACAGACCAGCAGTGCCAGCCCTAAGGAAGCTAAGACCATCCTGGGCTGCAGAGTGATCCATCGTCTCACAAAACCAAATGAGAGAGAACTATGAAATAGAGGGCGTGACCCTTGACAACGCTGCTGCCATGAGCTTTGGGAGCTCATGTCTATTCCTGGATGCATTATCTGTGTTTGATTGAGGTGACAGATGACATGCTGACTTTTAATTAATACATGTCAATATTTGCCCATAGAGGTTCAAATATGAAGCAAAAATATTTGGGGGAAGTTTGTTAAAATATGAGTATGTTCATCAGCACTTGGGTCAAGCAGAAATAGGTACTGGTGAGGTTTAGTCTCACAGAATGTGGGCGCGAACCTCTTGGGCAAATGAATACAGTGTTCAGCTCCTAAGGATTCTAGAAAGGGATTCTTGGGCTTTTTGGTATCTCTCTGTCACTTCCTTGTTCCGCAGGCTGTAGATGAATGGGTTCAGTGCGGGACCAATGACCGCATACAATGCAGAAATCAGCTTGTCTCCCTCAGCAGAGTAGTAAAGGGACTTGGGCCTCAAGAACCTGATCAGCCCTGTTCCATAATAGATGGTGACCACAACCAAGTGTGAAGCGCACGTTGAAAAAACCCTTTTTTTCCTGCCCTCCACTGAGTCTATTCGTATCACAGCCACCAGAATGCGGAGGTAGGAGAGAACAATCAGGAGGAAAGGGAGCAGCACTATGCCAGCCCCTCCGATGGCCACGGTGGCCTCCAGCAGAGACGTGTCTGCACAGAACGCGTGCAGGAGGATGGGCACTTCACAGAGAAGATAACCAACAGTGACCTTACTGCGAGTAAAAGGACCACAGAATGGAAGGATTGTGACGTAGAGAGGTCTGACTGAGGCACAGAAGCCTGTGACCCAGACTGCCACTGCCAGTGCTATGCACACCACCCAGCTCATGATGAGCAGGTACCTGAGGGGACAGCAGATGGCCACGGAGCGATGTATGGCCATCACTGCAAGGAGGGAGCACTCAGTTGACTCCAAGAACAGACTGAGGTAGATCTGAGCCAGGCAAAACGGGTAAGATATGACTTTCCTGCTGGCAAGAAAATTGAAGAGCATCTTTGGAGTCACAACTGTGCTGAAGAATCCATTGAGGAAAGCCAGGTGACAGAGGAAGAGATACATGGGGTTCTGCAGAGAGGAGTCGAGAGCCACGAACGTGATGACAGCTGTGTTCCCTAAACATTTCGCTGAGTAGAACAGAGAGAAGAAGAGGAGGAGGGGAATCTCAGCCTGGGGGTGGTCAGAAAACCTCACAAGGACCAGCTCAGCCATGGTGCTGGAATTCTGTGGTCTCACGCCTGCTCCTGAGCCAGCCCTGCTCAAATGAGACGAAATCAAAGACCCCGCATAAAAACTCGTAGGGAAGATCGGCCCCCTTCGCATTTGCTTTACTGCTGAAGACTTCACATCCTAAATGTCAATGACGGTCTCTCTGTGAGACCCCTTCAGACACAAAATGAACCTGTCACTCCCCTGAGGGACCAGGGTGGGAAAATCACACAAGATCTGGTAGGGACCGCAGAGATAATTCTGTCATCACTACATCATATCACACAGACTACAGGGCACTCCTCTTTGGTTTGCTGACTACACGTCTAACTTATCAGTTTCTTAAAAGGCAGCAGTCACTTCAGGAAGATTAAAGCGAATTGTCTGACATCACGAATAAAAATGTGAACGTTAAAAATGATCGCATTTTCCTTCCAGGAGTCCGGTAATCGGTATTACAGAGCTCATTTAGCCAAACAAAGATTTGACATCCCCAATCCCTACAGGACACAGACTACAGGGTTATAGGGCAGACTGCTACAGACAGTATTTAAACTGCCTAACCCGGTTAGTATGCGCAAAAACAATACAATTCAGTCACCCAGACTTCTGGCTCTCAGATTTCTAGCCATGGTCTCAGATAGTTGTTTCAAAGCATGGCCCCTGCCTGCACTCAGCCTCACTGGCAGTGACCCTCTGTCCTCTGTCCTGCTAGAGTTCTCTGTTTTCTTGCTTCCTTGCTTAATTTCACATAAAATGCTTTGCTAGGTTTAAAAACAAATAACTCCTCTATGCTTTTTGAACACACACACACACACACACACACACACACACACACACGGAGGGGGGGGGGACACTCTCTGAAGGAGGAAGGAAATGACTTAGGCAGAGAAAGGCAGTTGACATATCTGCCCAGCCTAGCTCCTTGATGCTGGAAAATCCATCAGTCTGTGCTCAATACTGGCACATTATAAATGAAAATTTCTGAAAATAGCCAGTTTCTTGTCTCTGTCTGAAAGGAGGCAGCATCAGAGCCACAGCCACCTGCCAGCATGAGAGCGCATGTGTAACACACCCAGAGACTGCTCAGGTGTGGTCACAGATACACGGATCTTGTTCCCCAAGATCCCATGATTTGATCACGATGATTATCCACATTCCTCTTTGTTATAACTGGATAATTTTTAATTTTCATGTAACTTTTGTAATTCTTCTCCTGTCATGTTGCGCACTTCAGTAATGGAGGAATCAAGATCTTTTGGAGGAGTCATGTCTTGTTTTGGTTTGCTTCTTCTTTTCCTGTGCAATGATTTGCACATCTGTTGGCTTGGTTATCTCCAGGTTTTGAGTATCTTCTTATAAAGATGTCTCCTCTTAAGGACTCAACTCCCAGGATCAACCCGAGAGGAAAAATAAAACTATTACACAATAACAATATTGAGTCGAACAATATATTAAAAAACACTCACAGCTAATTACATCCACAGTAACATGTTATCAATAACTATAGAACTCAAATGGTAAACAAGTGTACTATGATGTGAGAAGTTGTTAAGGGTAAATGTAGAACTAGGCACCCGACTGAGATAACAGGGGTGAAGAAAGCACAAGAGAAACGAAATAAATGGCAGAGGGGGATAAAAATCAACAAAATCCTCAATAATAAAACAAGTGCATAAAATAGATAAATGCAAGAAAGAGAATAAAATTTAAAAACATAAGAGTTGTAGTGGAATATTAGTTAAGTATGTGTTACATGCTTTTATGCTGTGAAATATTTGTTTAATGATACAAAGAAGAGTTGCATTCTTTTATAGTGTATTTGCTTAATTCTGTAAAGCTGTGTTGCTTTGCCTGCATGGACCACCTGATTGTTCTGATAACGTGCTGAATGGTCAATAGCTAGGCAGGAGAGAGAAACAGGCAGGGCTGATAGGTAGGGGCAGAGAGAATAAGTGAAAAGAAGGAGAGAAGGCAGAGCAAAAAAAGGGAAGAAGACACCTAGGGCCAACCACCCAGCTACACAGCAAGCCACAGAGTAGGAAGTTAAACAAAGGTATATAGCATAGAGAAAGATAAAAGCCCAGAGGCAAAAGTAGATGGAATACTTTAAGAAAATTTGGCTAGAAATAAGCCAAGCTAAGGCCAGGTAGTTATAAATAATAATAAAACTTTGTGTATTTATTTTGAGCTGGGTGGCAGGCCCCAAAAAGCCAAAATGTAAAAAAGTCAGCAACAAAAAGCTGTCTTTTAAAGATTAATATGGGGCCTGCAGAATTGCTGAGCAGGCAAATGCACATTTGCTGAGTCTGATGCCATGGGTTTGATTCCTGGGATGCACAAGTGGAATCAGATCTCCACACACATACTATGACACACATGTGCACCATACCCTGACACACAATAAACAAGGGATAAAAATCAATGAAACAACTAGAAATAAGAAAATAAATACACTGCTAGAAATACGACCATGTATGGGCATCCATAGCCAATGTGCCCCTCAATGCTGTAAAACTGAAACCTTTCCCCTAAAGATCAGAAGCAAGACAAGAATCCAAATTGAAACAAACTGGGAGCATTTTTATTGTGAACCAACTGAAATGAGATTCTGAATTAGCAAATTTTTCTTGCTGCTATATTCTGAAGTGAGAAAAACATCCACCAAAATCCACTTAAGGAAGAAAGGATTTACTTTGACTAAAAGATCAAGGTGATGCAGCCCATCATGGGGGACAGAGTCCAATCATAGGAACTCTAGGGGGTTGTTCATACTCATCCCAAATCAGGAAGTGGTGAACAGACAGGAAGTGGAACAGCTGGACTGTCAAACATATCTCCCAGCAAGGCTCCACCGTGTCAGAGTTCCACAACAGTTATCTAGGACCCCTTAACATACTTGTCTTCGTTAGGGTTTCTATTGCTGTGATGAAACACCATGACCAAAATGCAAGTTGGGGAGAAAATGATTTATTAAGTTCACCCTTCTATATCACTCTTTATCACTGAAGGTAGTCAGGACAGAAACTCAAGCAGAGCAGAAATTTGAAGGCAGGAGCTGACGCAGAGGTCATGGATGAGTGCTGTTTAACGGCTTGCTCTCCATGGCTAGCTCAGTCTGCTTTCTTACAAAACCACCAGTCCAGGAGTGGCCCCACACAACGGACTGGGCCCTCCCCCATCAATCACTAATTAAGATAATGCCTCGCAGCCAGATCTTATCGAGGCATTGTCTCAGCTGAATTTCCATCCTTTCAGATAACTCTAGTTTGTGAGACAAGCTAACATAAAACTAGCCAGCACAATGTCCGTGTATTTTAGCATGTATTTTTCTACTTCTGGTAAACCCCACTGTGATTTTTACCAGGAATTTCATTTCATGTGTAGATGTTGAGTAGCATCAAAATTTCAACAACATCAAGTCTTCTGGGTATGAATGTGGATGTCTGTATTTACCTGTCCTCTTTAATTCGCACCAAATGAATCATTTAGTTCCTAGTGCAGAGACCGTCCACCCCATTTTGGAAATGGTTGTAACTGGCTTTGTTTTCTTAATTTTTCCATTGCTCATTGATAGAGAGTGCAGATACTACTAATAATCATGCATTGACTTTGTATCCTACAATTTTGCTCCTGTTAGTAACGGTGATAAAAATTTAATGTGGTCTCTGGTATACTTTATAGAATAGACAGAAGCTCTTATGATTTAACTGTGAAGTGTCCCCCGCGGCTCACACTTGATCCTCAGTTAGTGGCACCGTTTTTGAAAAGTTGTGGAACCTGTAGGGTGTAGGAAATTATGCCCGTATGTCTGTTTCACTTACTAAGGTTTGCTTTGTATCCTAAAATGCCATCAATTTTATAGAATCTATGTGCCATTGAGAAGAATGTGTATTCCCACCTCCTGGGTCGAAAGTTCTGCAGGAATCTGTGTGAACTCCGTTCCCTTTACTGATGTGTAATAGTTCTCTTTCTCTCTTGTTTTAGCTTCAAAACGTCATCATATATAAGAACAGACACCCCAGCTTGATTGTAGCTTCTGTTTGTTTAGCTTGGTCCCAACCTCCCCTTCTCCTCTGTTGTTCTGCTTTAATTCATGGTTGATAGATACTGTTCCTGCCCACACGTATTTCTTGACCACACATTCTAACCCAATTAGTCTGCATCTTATTATAATTGATGGGTTAAGGTTTTTTGCACTCAGGGTTGGGATTGAGAAAGGTTTGCTAATGCTGGGATTTTGTTGTGTGTTGTTCTGATTGATTACTTGTTATTTCCTATCTCCCTTCCCTAGGAACTGATGTTGGCTGCTTTCTGGTCTGCTGTGCAGACATGGCTGGTTATTTCCCCGTACTTCTCCGTCCCTCGACTGCTTTCATGGATTGTATCCTCCCATGTGCTCTTGTGTGAGAAGCTGTCTTCCTTGCTCCTCTGTGTTCAGTATCCTTGTAATAATACGCTGTAAAGCTGGCTTGGTTCTCATGAGTTCCCTTACCTTCTGCCTGTCTGGAACTAATTCCCGTTTCTCTGTCTATCTTAATACATTATTTTCCTAGGTAAATTTTCCATGATGGAAATGATATTTACTCAGAACAAATACATCGTAGGTGAATTAAGCCTAAATACATTTGTTGAAAGATTTAAAGATAAATCCCCAGTCTGTCTACAATAAGAGAATAATGTGTATTTATTATTAGAGTTATTGTTGTTGTTATGTATAATAGTTGTGTGTTCATGTGTCTCTTTTTCATATTTCAATGTGGAATAAAATGTAAAATACTGAAAATGAGTAATTTGAAGATCGGGGCAAAGGTCCTGCTTGCATTGGGTGCTGGGACTCCACATCTGTGATTCTAGATATGGCCAGCAGAGGGCAGCAGTCCTAGAAAGGGGTCCTGCAAACGAACATGAGGGATCTCTCACTGACAACAGGACAAGCAAAGAACGTTGGGGTGATCAGTGGGGAAGTCGATCAGAAAGACCCTTTGGAGGAGGAACACCCTTAGCATGGGGCACTGGGGCTATAAGACGTGCGTTACACACAGCACATAACGCAGGTTTGTCCTGCTTCTGGGAGTTCCAGCCTGCTACTCCGCCCTGGAGGAGTTAAGGCT